GCAGGCTTTGTGGTCGGTGTTGTGGTGAGCTTTGCAGCTGGTGTTTGCGGAGGCAGCCCATTTGTGGGCAAGCGTGGTTGTGTGGGGCCCACCACCTCTTCCGAGCCTTCCTTTTCGGTGATGCAGAGCAACATGATGCCGGAGCCCATGTCAACTTCGATGAGCTCCCCGTCCGTGCACTCAGCCGCGCTTTCCACGACGCGAGCGGAGGATGGCGGCATCATCCTCACCACGGGCGATGCGAACGGAACCTTCTGAGCGGCAGGCAGTTGGCAGTGCCCACTGGCAATGCTGCCGAGTAGCAGCAACACGATGATAGACCGACCGTGCATGATTGCCGCTGCTCACCACGATGCTCCGGATAATGGCAGCCTGGAAATACAGAATCGAAATTAATGATACCACTCAATTATCAGTAGATCAAAGTAATAGCCTGAGAGAATGGCCGTTGCCGCTAACCTCTGCTCTGTATTGAGTGACTCGCCCTGTGCTCTTTGCCAAGCAGTAGAAATACAAGGGACGATAATACCTATAATTGTTATCTTCCAAGAGATCTATAGACAGAAAAATGCTGTGAAAAAGACCACAGGTCAATTCTCCGTCTCTCCTCTCGCAGGACAAATCTGTTTTCGTTTGAAGCGCCAGGCTATATATATGGTGTTCGATGATCGAACTTCACATCAGATTTTGAACCCATATACACTATTTGCAGGCATAAATAGCTACAGGGCTGTGCACAGTCTCGCTTTGGATATGAATGCCCCCCCCGCCCCCCCCCCCCTCATGACTTGCTAATGGGTTCTGGTTTAGTCAAGTATTTTTTTCTAGGGATGTACAGTACGATGCAATACCCGTGATATTCCTATATCGGTGCACTGTCCGAAAACTCGACAAGACAAGTACTAGTACATGTACAAAGCACATTCCATATTAGCAAGAGTAGATAAACAAGAGTGTGCAACTCGCGGATGGGTTGGCCCACGGCGGAATTTTTTGTTGACGTAATCTTTTCGACGACGCACGCGCTGCGAGCCTTTTGGAGAGGTTTCCCTCGTGCACTTGGCCGAGCTTTACACTACAAGGTCGGTGCCCAGCACGTGCTCTCACACTGCTCTGCGGCAAAGTCCGCGTTTCTCTGAAAAAAGGTGACGTCAACAAAAAATTCCGCCGTGGGCGGGGGTATCTGCAGATTGTGCAGGAGAGATCCGGAGTTGCACACTCTTGTTTATCTACTCTTGATATTAGTGTTTACAGGTGTATGAGGGTCGTGCACTGTTGGCACTGTGGCCCAGGGATATTGTATGCAGATAAATGCTATAATTGTGGCATTCCATTTGGTGGTACATGTACATACACACCGTACCTGGCAATATGGAGGTAAATACACACCTGCATAGACGGCATTCAGCTTCCTCGGATTTTAATCATTTTATGGACTCTCCTTCTATAGATGGGTTTTGTCGCCTAAACACAGTTGGACACGTACGTGTAACTTAAATGTCCATTTGTGGCCGAGCATGGGTAAAATGTCCATGAAAGGAACACTGGTCACTCTTCGTGCGCTCAGGAGTCAGTACAGTACAGTATCCTTTACTTTCATACTTCAGATAATATCATACGAATTGGACAAACAGAACGAATGCAATGCCGAGCAGGTCCGGTGGAACCGGTCCGGTTGGTCAGGCGATGGCCGGACCAACGTTTTGCCCACCAACGTGTGTTTAATGCTGAGCAGGTCATGTGTACCCATGTACCCACCATGTCATACACAAACAGTATGAAAGACTAGGGCGAGGCCGGGCCAATCAAAAACTGCTTCCACCGGTCCTGCCGAGCACAGCATTGTTAGAGCACATAATCATTGCAGCGAGAAGCAATCTAAGAACAGTCGTCACTTACTGTATATCACCTTATTTTCGGTGTTGTAAAATTTCGGGTAAAGCCAACCCCTGACCTTTCGGTGTAAGGATAAATTCGGTATGCATGGCACAAAAAAAAAACAAAAAAAAACCGCTCTTGCACTAATATTAATATCTCCGCCAAGGCTCCACATAAATTATGTACATGACTGTATACATGTTATGTATGTACAATGTACTACCGGTATACATGTACCAGTATACAAGTTGATTGTTTTAATTTGACAGTGATTTTCATGATTTTTACATATTTTGGTATTTCGGAAAATTTAGGTGTAATGTTTAGTTAGGTGATACAGGACCAGTACCGAAGTTACCGAAGTTTAAATTACACCGAAAAAAGGTGTTATACATTAACCCTTTGGAGTCCATGGTTCGATTTCTCATCAAGAGCTTTCCAACAAGCCCAAGATCTTCAAAATCGATGATGTAGAACCAAAGTTATGTTGGAAATTGAGTGCGCATTTTCGTGACGGCCACACGTTTTGAGGAAGCAAAAACGTTATGGACTCCAAAGGGTTACTAAGGCAACACTGCCTGTTTGTTCTTCCATATAACTGTACAGTATGTCTGGTATACTGGCACGAGAAGGGGTGAGGAACTTTCCGACTCTGCAAACAAAATGGCATAGAGCGAAGTAGAGTTTTGGAAAGAGAAATATATAGACAGGAGTATTTCGCTCCTGCTCTTGTAGCAGTTGAGCACTCTTGCTTGGGGTAGTGTCTTTGCTGTTTGCGTTATGCAGAGCTCGCTGACTTGTCAGTTTGAGCATTCGGGTAAGGTGCGTTCGGGCCTGGTTTAAATCTGGCTTTGGAAATGTATTAATTTGCATTGCTATCAGGTTCGGCCTCATTTTCTCTATGCTGCGCTGATGAGTCCACAAAGGACGAAACAGTTCTGTCCACAGATAGAGTAGATAGAGGGACATAGATAGAGAGAGATAGAGCGTGAGAAAGAAAGGGAGCATACATGTAAATGTACATGAAGGAGGTAATCAGTTTCCTCTGAGACAAAAATGCGATAATACTCATTTCCCTTGCCTGTATTTCACCTGATGAGAAGGCTTGAAAGTAAACTTGTGAAATACCGTGCCAATCGCCTGTTCGAACAACTCTCATAACAATGGTTTTATGAGCAAGGGGTATGTTTATGGTTAAAAAAACTTCAAATCGTTATTCGCCAATTGTCGCTATATCAGCGAAGTTGACTGTACTCCCTGCCCTCTACTCTAGACTCTTGACGCTAGATCTAACAGTAGGGACTTCAGACTACGTGACTTCTTGGCCCAAAAGCGTGCAAATCGACGCCTGCTCAAATCGTGTGATGGTCATTATGTCAAGTCGTGTAAAGAAATGTGGAACCGTTTTTCGAAATGAAGGAAGTCTTGTACAGTTGGAGAAAGTTTCGGTTCATCTTGTTGGAGCTTGCCTTCGTTTGAGACCAGCAAGAATGGAGCTGTTACGTTCATTTTTGACGGAGATACGTATGCGGATGGAAGGGAAAGGTGAGAAACCATATGATCCGTCCGGGTCCCCTTCTTGAAAATGTGATATTCGTATTCTACGACCTCGAATTAGTCTAGATAGAAGGTAATCTTTATTGTTTTCACCTTCCAGAAGACCTATTTCTTGCATTATTCCTCTTTGTACTTTGCCGTGCAGTGCCGCCATAGTCACAGTATGGAAAGCAGCGAGAAGTCTCCTGCGCTAAATGATGCTGATGTACAAATTGAATTGCTCTTGGCTGTTTCGGTCCATGCCTCGATTCTTGTCTCCAATGCTGTTATGCTCGATCTTGTTGAGCTCCGCAAGAATAGCTGAAAGAGTGCCGAACTGGGAGATGTGCTGTATACTCTTGTTGCTACTTGCTGTATCTCTGCTGATGATGATGTGCGTGCTACGATTACCCCAGCCAATACAATGTCCTGTACAATGTACATGTTGAGATTAGTCCGTGCCTTATTATTATTATTATTATTTTATTTATTTTACTAGGGTGTTTCCCACAGACCTATGGTCTTCTTACGGGAGCCCCTAGAAAGGTTAAGCATGAACGAACAAATGGGCTCTTCCGTGATCATTCTTTTTCTTGACACCAACCACGCCAACAGTCCGAAGCTATCTCAGGACTGTATTATCAATGTCTCCTGTTACTAATCATTACATTGTAAACCATACTATTCAGCTATTTCATGCGGAGAATCAAGATTGTTTTGGATCTGGTGTGCGGTTGCTATGCGTTGCCAAGGAAAGTGGGTTCTCTCAGTTTGACATATCTCTCTGATCTCAAAATGTGTGGGACGTTTGTCGGACAAATCCGGTGATAGGCGGATGACTATTTTGCTTGTACCTTTAGTTTCCTTTTGTCCGATTTAGAAAAACTAAAGACCAAACTCCTCAGGAAACTATCCAAAAAGCAACACACACCGTAAAGTCGCGGATAAAAGCCGGGTTTATAAGCACATAAGCCGCTTTCTGCATCAGGCTTCAATGCAAACCAGGCTTGTATGCAAACCATGCTTATAATTATGCACCTGGCACTGATATTTTTGCCAGGCTTGTATGCACATCGGCCGATCCGGGCTTGCATAGAAGCCCGGCTTCTACGCGCGACACGCGTAGATTTACCACTGACTACCGGTATGGCGGCAGTTTTACTATGCACTGTACATAGCGCATGCACTCTTGACCTACCCGATCCGCGCTTGCATAGAAGCCAGGCTTCTACGCGCGACAGGCTTGTTATAACAGTCACTGAGTCAGTAGTCACCCTGGCCTGGTCACGGAGCCCGACCAGACACTGTCAGTTCACATGGTCACGCATGCAGTTGCCACAGCAGTACAGCCGTATACGCGTACAGCTAGTGCAGTCCCCATTTTGCACGCGATCTACTAAAAAATTGATAATGACAGTCATCATTATCATGGTCATTGTCAGATGTCCATAGTGCCAAGCGCTGCACACGTGCCGGTGTAGCGCTTGGCATATTACCCAGTTATGTACATTGTACGTACAATAGTACTATTAATTTTTGTAGAGCTTTTGCCTTTTGACGTTTTGTCGTGCCCAGCAGCAGAACTGCCGTGTCATTTTCCAAGACGCAAGAATTATCTTCTGACAGCGAGACAGTTTGGAGCTCGGATCTATTAGATCCAAGCTCCAAACTGAGTGCTGTCAGGAGGTGATTCTTTATTTTCTTAATTTTCGCGAGTTGGTCCGGACTAGAATCGTGGCAATTATGCTGCTCCTTACACTGTTATCCAGTGCCCTGCTAATGGTGGTGGTGGTGACGAGCGCTCAGCCCGTCAAACAGCCAAACATTCTGTTGATCTTTCCCGATCAGTGGCGCTTCGACTGGGCCGGCAGCGTTTGGAATCTGGACGCGCTGCGCACGCCCAACTTCGATGCAGTTGTCGCGAACGGCACCGTGTTCACTCGCGCCTACGTGGCCAGTCCGCTGTGCGCCCCGTCGCGATCGTGCCTAGCGGGCGGTCGCGAATACGACCAAGCTGGAGTTCCGAGCAATTTCGGCAACGATTATCCGGTCCAACAGACGACATTCTACAAACTATTGCGAGGTAAGAAATTTGGAATTTTTTTAAAAATCCATTGTTTCTCTATAAATACTAACCTGTCACTGAAGTACTGTAGAACGGGTAGTTACATTTCAGAGGTTCCAGCTCGATGCTCCAGTGTGTTAGGCCTTTCATCTCACATAATAAAACCCTGTCACATCTTCGCTTTCACCTCCTCATGTAACCATAATTCTACTGCAAATTCAGAGAATTCTTGCAGAATTACAGATTTTAGCGTTTTCCCATTGTCAACTGGTCAGCGACGTTTCATTTTAGCGATATGCAGCGATTTTACTCACGGATCACCAGTGCACTACTAATGTCTCAACGGATTAGCGACTTGAAACTTTAGCGAAAATGAGCAGATCGCTAAATTCGCTAGGGTTTTCACGTCGCTAAAATTACCCGTTCTACAGGAAAGAGAGATACATGTAGAGAGAGGATGGAGCAGATCACAGCCTTTAGAATGGATTGGAACTGAGAGGCGAACTAGCATACTCTTTGTCTCAGGCAGGCACAGTGGGTTGCTCTAAGACCATGATTGAGAAACGAGAGGTACCAGGTTCAAGTACTGCTTGGAAGCGGAAGGATTTTTTCCAACCGTGCTGCGACCCACAGTTAATTGGGAATTCGCGGTCTGGCATGAGTAAAACATGGATGTGGCAAATGGGATTTAGGCCTTTGGCCTCTGGTTGGTGGATCCGATCTATCCTCCCCCACCGTTTAGGAGCCGCATCTGACGCCTGATCATGGGGTGGTGGCGTCCCACGGAAGCGGAAAGGTGGTTCTTGACCACGGAGTTGTACGACTCCTTGTTCTTGACCTGCCCGGTACGCGAACCCGTCGATTTTTTGTCTCCTTTTGGTCTGTTGTTGTGTGTGTGTGGGGGGGGGGGGGGTCGCGCGTAGGTGCGGTCACGCACGCAGGGGCGTGTGTGTGTTTGTGTATGCGTGTTCGAATGTGCATTATGTATACACTGCATTATGCAAATGTACAAATGTGCCTTTTTACACATCTGCCATGAAACGTTTGTGTGTTTCCTGTAAGCTGAGCTGTCTTGACTTGCGAGATTTCTCAAGACTGTAAAGTTGATCACCCAACACAATCAAGTCATTCCCATATCTTACCGTCATTGTCAACTGCTTTGTTTGTACCGTTCACCCAGACAAGGCCGGTTACCATGTCATGACGTGCGGCAAAGACGACCTGACCAAGAAATCACAGCCAGGACTGAACGGCAGCTATCACGCCGAGGTACGGTGCAGTAGTCGGCTCATGTGCTGTGTCTGTTCCTATCTCGTATTACCTTTCGGTGTTAGGCTGACTGCCTAGATTTCTTTTCTCTCTCTCCTTCTTCTCTTCTTTCTCCTTCTTACCTGACTGCAACAGCTGGTGATATCTAATGTCAACTCTAACGTTCCAAATGCAGTCTCCATGCTGCATATATCACATAAAAATTGAAATAAATTGTATTCTCCCAATTGCTGTGCATGGCCCATCATCAGGATGAAAACAATCCACTATCTCATCTCGGATGGAGAGCCAAGGATAAATTTATAATAAAGAAAAAAAAAGAAAAAAAGGACCAATAAACTGCAAGTTCGCTGGTGGTGTTAGTGAACATTATAGCGTAATTTGCAGTTTATTGGTCATTTTTTCTTTTCTTTTTTTCTTTACTATAAATCTATCTCATCTCATTTTTCATTTCCCATTATGGCAGTGGTAACTGATGGCAGACCATGAAAAAATACATTATAATTACAACTTGGAAAGCTGACTCTGCGTGTGTGCGTGTTGCCAGGAACTTGGCTTCTCCGACTACCTTCGCAGTTCGGGAAAAATGGATGTCGTCAATAGCAAGGAGCCGCACGAGCCGTTTGGCGCTTTCCTGCAGGTATGGTGAGCACCTACCTCTCGAATATCTGTGTGTTGTCTGGATGGAGCAGTGTGTCCACGTGAGAAAAGCTTTGCATAGTGAAACCTGTCTAAGGCGACCCCTCAAGGGACGAGAAAAAGTGGTCGCCGTGGCCAGGAGGTATTCTTATCCAGGTTCAGTGGGTCATGTGGCCATATGCACATGTGATACATCATTTTGATCAGTGTATCACAGTGCACACACCTATGCTACTGTAGCACGACTCATGTGCCTAGTTAGGTCCTCAGACCTGTCAGGTGTCGTGCATGCACCATTACATGCACATCTACACTTCCTGCACTGATGTGTACATGTACCAATACTATGCATGGTGCACCGGGCAATGCATACATTTACATGTACTAGCACTGTGCAACGCGGTCGCGGGTGGGTGGTCGCCTTATCCGAACTGTTTTGAATGTGAATGCGTCCGTGACAAGGAAACGTGTCCGCCATGGTCGAGTGGTCGTCATTACAGGTTTTACTCCAATTCAATTACTTGCATTTTTAAATTATTATTCTAGAACAAGCAGGGGTGTCGGAAGGTATTTTAGTGTGGTACGGTCAGCCATCTGAAGTACAATTTACTCGAGGGGAGTAGTGGCTGAGCGGAAAATTGTGGAAATTTAGCTCCCAGATGACGGTGTATCTTATGAAGTCACGGGACCTATGGCGAAAAGTGGTACGGTCAATACCATAGCGACCGTACCGTGTCCGACGCCCCTGACAAGTCAAGTTTGCATGCGTCCACGCAATTAACCCTTTATGTACTGAAAAAAATGTACGCAGACTGAATTTGATCTCGACTCGCCTCAAATTCCATAATTCTCCGGGTCATAACTTTGGTCTCCTTTTGACGATGTTTTCAATCTTGAGCTTCCTGGAAAGCTCGTCGCAAGAGAAACACATTGAGCCCACACTTGCCACCACGAAGGTCAAAATTCCAGCGCTACAGCCCAGCGTCTTAGTTGCAACGCCAATATTCCGATAGAAGTCGTCTTGTATCAGCCATTTCGCTCTCCTTGCTTGTAACAACTAATTTTTACTTCCAAAAAAATTTCACCATCGGCCACGAGTCCGTTTGCCATTTTGAATGTGTTTCTTCGTCACTGGATGCCCAGAAAGATGGGGAAATCCCTTATTCAAATCTGCGCACGCGGCTATTGAGCGACAATTGCCGCGATTTGACTTTCGAGCTTCGTAACTCTAGAACCGCACATCGGAGTGTTTCTGCGAATGTTTCAATGGACAGCTAGGAGTTTTCTCTTCGACCTACATAATTTAGGTTTTGGAAATAATCCAGAAATGACGGAGTTACGATCGATTGAAAATTTGAAAAGTTTCGATCCCAGGGGATCGAATGTTGTACAGTCCGTACACAAAGGGTTAACACATCCAGTCCAGAAGACGCTTCATATCAGATATCAAACGTTTTCGTTCCCTTCTCTTCAGGATTATACAGGGAATGGCTGAAAAGGAAAAAAATGACTACAACTTCGTAAATGTACTGAGATACAACAGATATCAAACGGAAACGTTTGATATCTGAAATGACGTGTCTTCTGGACTGGGTGCGTTAATTGCGTGGATCCATGCGAACTTGACTTAGTTCTAGAATTCTTTTTTTTCGCCTCCGACCTCCGTTACAATTTTTTTAATATTATTACACTCTTGATGCATAGCACACAGTGTTGTAGGGATGAAATCGTGTGGCTTATGGCGAGTTCAAATTCTGTATACTGTAAAAGCCATTATTCTAACGAGGCGCATATATAACGAATAAACTTGACTAGTTTACGTGTACCAAAGGTAACGATTCTCACTTATTCTCAACGCTCAATAGGACAGTATATGTATCGATTTCTGTATAACGATTTCTATTTTAATGACCGATTTCTCCTCGTTAATTCGCTAGAGTTAGCACTTCGTTATATATATGGCTTTTACAGTACTTGACGTATTTTATACACGCAACTGTGCACTGTCCTGATATAAACAGTATGCGCATGTGTGTGCATGTGTGTGCGCCCATGTGTGTGAGTGTGTGGGTGTGTGTGTGTGTACGTCCATGTGTGTGCACCCATGTGTGTGTGTGTGTGTGTGTGTGTGTGTGTGTGTGTGTGTGTGTGTGTGTGTGTGCGTGTGCGTGCGCCCATGTGTGTGTGTGTGTGTGTGTGTGTGTGTGTGTGTGTGTGTGTATGTGTATGTGTGTGTGTGCATGTGCATGTGTGTGTGTGTGTATGTGTGTGTGTGCTCGCTTACACGTGTGTAGGAGAACAACCTGTGGGATGTGCACAAGGCGGAATGGCATGGTCCGGACGGAGACTGTCAGTGGAAGTCCTACGTTTGCAACAAGAGCTCGTAAGTCACTTAATTAACTCTATCTGACAATAGCCAGCGTGGCATGTGACCTTTGGGACGGGTCATTGAAACGAGAGAGCTTCGAAGCTCAGGGTCTTACGCTATGCTTTTTTGCCTAGCTCATCATGCATGTTATTAGAACTGATGGGAATTTCTCTTTGGCCCCAGCTTTGTTGCGGTCTTATAATGTTTTACGTCGACAATGACGCCTACAATGGCCAACCATACCACAACGAACTGATCGGCTACATCATTGTATTTCGAAAAGTATCCATCCGTTCCAATAACATGCATGATGAGATAGGCAAAAAAGCATAGCATAGGGCCCTGAGCGAAATAAATAAACTTTCTCTTTGCATTCGAGGGTAATACGACACCGTCTACCACCTTGGTGACCTAGGCAAAAAAGCAAAAGGATGTTATAAATTTTTCATTTCTCCTATTTTTTCAAGACATAACCAGGGATTCGAACCCGCAGTATCGCCCTGCATGCATTCCCCCCGATACACTTCGCATACATACTCACTCTTCCAAGTTGCTTCACGTTATGATCTTGCATTTGACAGTCCTATTTGAATATTGTGGCCAGCTGTCTTTGATGGCACGGTACGGGACAGGTACGGGATAGCGCCAGGCATGCCGATGGCACCAACAAACAAACACGGAATTAAAGCTGTGTGGACCCTGGCTAGCGCAAGACGTTACTGAGGTAACGTCTTTTGCATAGCTATGGGAATAAATTATCGTGTATGCTCCCGAAGGGAACGTACGACGGCCGCTAACACCCAGTGAATCCAGCGGTAGATTTGGCGCGTAATGGTGGAAGGCGAGGGGATACGACACACAACCACTGGCACAGGTGCCGAAAACCCCATTAGGCGAATTATTCATTACACATCATGATCTCCACAATGACACGATTATAAAAATTCTTGCTACCCGATCTCTCCTGGGTGCGCTCATCGAGCTATGCAGGCGAGATCTCTGGTCAGTCGCGTTCAATCTGCCCGACCACTACACTCATTCATTCACTCCAGCGACTGGCGATTCTTGAGCTGTGTAGAAAATATCATCCTGGTGCATCTTTGGTAGTCCCACCTCGTATCCCAGGTTCAGGTGAGGGCTAGTCAGGTTGGAGTTTACGAATGCATCTGGGGTTGTAGCAAAGGGTAAATCCTTGACACACCCCCCCCCCCCCCACCCCCCTCCTCCTCATCCTCCTCCTCTCTAGAGGCAGTGTTGTTTCACGTCATTGCCATGTAACTAAAGTTGTAAAACAGAGATGTTCCAGGATGTCCAAGAGAGTGCTCAATACCGAGAGGCAGAGCCAGTTCAAACAATAATAAGAGGACGGAAAACGCGTTTTTACTCTGAGTTTCACACACTAAACGATCATCAGAAAACAGTGAACGTGATCATGACGTGGCGACAATGGGCCCAACATGGCCGACATCATGTCACCCATGGATGCAGCCTGGGGCTGGCTACAGTAAAACCAACATGGCTGTCCCGCATAGTCATGTGCCAGATATGAAGCCACTCTATTGGATTTTTGTGTCGTGTGCTGAAACCACGGTAAAACCTGTAACTAAAGACCACCGTGACTAGCGACCAGCCTGGCACTTCAGAGGAACCTGTGACTAAGGACCACCGTGACTAGCGACCAGCCTGGTACTACAGACCGCTTCGACAGGCACGGATGGTCTCGCATTCATATGGTTGTGCGGTGCAAACCTCTAACTAAGGACCACCTGCCACTAAAGACCGCTTTCTGCGGCCCCAAGGGGTGGTCGTTAGTCACAGGTTGTACTGGAACTAGAAATTGTTGCTCCTTTCGCACTGCACAGGCCACTGCCCGACTTTGCATATGAAGACAACTGGATAGCGAGGGTGAGTTCAGAGTATTTCTGCCGTGAATGATGGGAGTGTCGAAGACATGCAGACAAACGCCTTGCTGTGCGTCAGTATTGAGATGTTACTCCACACACGTGTATACACGCTGCAAAATCTCTGCCACAACCTTTGGTCAGGGTGCGAATGTGGACTTCTGTGGAGGAGGGAAACGCTGTGGATGATGTCATCGTATAAAATGAAACATCTCACGATGACATTATCGTATCGTGATCTGAAGTGAACGTTAGCCCAGTGCTGTTCATTGTCCCAAAACATTTTTTTGTAATTGTGACATCATCCTATGTCTATGTTCAAATTCACCGTAGGATGCACCCAGTGTGCTGACAGTGCTCAACACTGCGGGGGCAGAGCGTAATGCACGGAACAACAAGCCACAGTCTGACCTCGCTTATCCGGTCCTCTTTTATCCAGACCCCTCGCCATCCGCAAGAAAATAGCTGGTTAGAGATACACAGCGTGCGTGATGCATCCAATATAATCAGTGTTTGATTATCCGCTTCCCTCATCTATCCGGACATTTTTTTCGGAAAACGGATGTGTGCGGCTAAGCGAGGTCTGAGTGTAGTTTGCTGTTCTGTTGATGTTCACAATCATGGATTGTCTGCCTGGCTTTGTTTTTCTTGATCTTTTGCAGAATGCTATGACACTGTTGAGTCGGAAACCAGCCAATAAGCCATGGTACCTGCAGGTAAGAAGTTTAAACGTATCTCTCATGTGCTTATTCATCTAGCATCTCTTCATGCCAACCTCAGGTTTTGGTCTATTGCCTATATTACCCCATCTTGCAAGCACGTTCATCCGCCTTGCTCATTTGTCTTCCACCTATGTACATGTCTGCACAGGTGAATATCGCGGGACCACATCCGCCGTTCTCGATCACACAGAACATGAGCAAGACGGTGAGAGGCAGGGAATTCCCCACCGCAGTCGATCACACTACGCTGACGCACGAACAGCAGCAAATCCTGAGACAAGGTCAGAACCCCAAGGCTCGGAAGTTCAAGGATTGCCAGTTGAATTATTTACTGTTAAAACGAATTTTTATTGGTCGAATACACTAGTGTGGTCTCGGATGGAGAACGAACTGCCTCTCCTGTGTTCTTGCCACACCACACATCAAAAGGACTAGTCAAAATGGTTGTTCTCTATTTCTAGAGAGAGAGCTTTCTTGTAATGCACTTCAGGAGGCGACGGGAGAACTCATAGTCATGACAACAGAATCTAATAGTGAAGGCGTACAACGGGGACAAGAGGAGCAAGTGTGTACACAACGGGGACAGAAGACGGTGGAGCCGCATGTACGCAGGAGTCAAAAACAGCGCAGCAGCGTGTACCACGGTTCAGCAGCATGTACAACAAAGAGACACTAAAGCAGCAGCATGTACGACAAAGAGCTACACGTGCCACCGCATGTACAACGAAGAGACACAAGCGCAGCCACATGTACAACACTAGTATCATGTAAATATCTCTACCTGCTGTATAAATTTATAGTAAAGAAAAAATATCGAAGAAAGCTCTCCATCCGAGTCCATGCCTACTTTATAAATACAAATTTTCGTTAGATCTCTCCACCAGCGGGTTGGTTACGTTCTAAATTTCATTCTTGGTCGAGGTCTGTCGTCCCGAACGTTCAGAAAACAACTTTAGTTTGGTACAAACTTTAGATATTTCGTGCCCCCTAACGAATATTGTGAAAGTTAATTCCAAACGAAAATTTGTGCTTGTACAGTCCTGAGCATCTCTAGCATAGGATATACTGAACTGAGCATCTCTAGCATAGGATATACTGAACTGAGCATCTCTAGCATAGGATATACTGAACTGAGCATCTCTAGCATAGGATGTACTGAACTGAGCATCTCTAGCATAGGATATACTGAACTGAGCATCTCTAACATAGGATATACTGAACTGAGCATCTCTAGCATAGGATATACTGAACTGAGCATCTCTAGCATAGGATATACTGAACTGAGCATCTCTAGCATAGGATATACTGAACTGAGCATCTCTAGCATAGGATATACTGAACTGAGCATCTCTAGCATAGGATATACTGAACTGAGCATCTCTAGCATAGGATATACTGAACTGAGCATCTCTAGCATAGGATATACTGAACTAAGCATCTCTAGCATAGGATATACTGAACTGAGCATCTCTAGCATAGGATATACTGAACTGAGCATCTCTAGCATAGGATATACTGAACTGAGCATCTCTAGCACAGGATATACTGAACTGAGCATCTCTAGCATAGGATATACTGAACTGAGCATCTCTAGCAAAGGATATACTGAACTGAGCATCTCTAGCAAAGGATATACTGAACTGAGCATCTCTAGCATAGGATATACTGAACTGAGCATCTCTAGCATAGGATATACTGAACTGAGCATCTCTAGCATAGGATATACTGAACTGAGCATCTCTAGCATAGGATATACTGAACTGAGCATCTCTAGCATAGGATATACTGAACTGAGCATCTCTAGCACAGGATATACTGAACTGAGCATCTCTAGCATAGGATATACTGAACTGAGCATCTCTAGCATAGGATATACTGAACTGAGCATCTCTAGCATAGGATATACTGAACTGAGCATCTCTAGCATAGGATATACTGAACTGAGCATCTCTAGCATAGGATATACTGAACTGAGCATCTCTAGCATAGGATATACTGAACTGAGCATCTCTAGCATAGGATATACTGAACTGAGCATCTCTAGCATAGGATATACTGAACTGAGCATCTCTAGCATAGGATATACTGAACTAAGCATCTCTAGCATAGGATATACTGAACTGAGCATCTCTAGCATAGGATATACTGAACTGAGCATCTCTAGCATAGGATATACTGAACTGAGCATCTCTAGCATAGGATATACTGAACTGAGCATCTCTAGCATAGGATATACTGAACTGAGCATCTCTAGCATAGGATATACTGAACTGAGCATCTCTAGCATAGGATGTACTGAACTGAGCATCTCTAGCATAGGATATACTGAACTGAGCATCTCTAGCATAGGATATACTGAACTGAGCATCTCTAGCATAGGATATACTGAACTGAGCATCTCTAGCATAGGATATACTGAACTGAGCATCTCTAGCATAGGATATACTGAACTGAGCATCTCTAGCATAGGATATACTGAACTGAGCATCTCTAGCATAGGATATACTGAACTGAGCATCTCTAGCATAGGATATACTGAACTGAGCATCTCTAGCATAGGATATACTGAACTAAGCATCTCTAGCATAGGATATACTGAACTGAGCATCTCTAGCATAGGATATACTGAACTGAGCATCTCTAGCATAGGATATACTGAACTGAGCATCTCTAGCACAGGATATACTGAACTGAGCATCTCTAGCATAGGATATACTGAACTGAGCATCTCTAGCAAAGGATATACTGAACTGAGCATCTCTAGCAAAGGATATACTGAACTGAGCATCTCTAGCATAGGATATACTGAACTGAGCATCTCTAGCATAGGATATACTGAACTGAGCATCTCTAGCATAGGATATACTGAACTGAGCATCTCTAGCATAGGATATACTGAACTGAGCATCTCTAGCATAGGATATACTGAACTGAGCATCTCTAGCACAGGATATACTGAACTGAGCATCTCTAGCATAGGATATACTGAACTGAGCATCTCTAGCATAGGATATACTGAACTGAGCATCTCTAGCATAGGATATACTGAACTGAGCATCTCTAGCATAGGATATACTGAACTGAGCATCTCTAGCATAGGATATACTGAACTGAGCATCTCTAGCATAGGATATACTGAACTGAGCATCTCTAGCATAGGATATACTGAACTGAGCATCTCTAGCATAGGATATACTGAACTGAGCATCTCTAGCATAGGATATACTGAACTGAGCATCTCTAGCATAGGATATACTGAAGCTTACCATGAGCAAGGCGAGGCTAGCATCTGTTTATGCACGTTTCAGGATTATTCGATAAATACTTGGTGTGGTGCCGAATGACGATTCTTGATTACCGTCCGCTTGTTTACTGTGCAGACTATGCGGCGGAGATTGAAAACATTGACGGCTGGATCGGCGAGCTGCTGGCACTGGTGGAGAAGAGCGGGGACATGGACAACACCCTCGTCTGCATCGCCTCCGATCACGGAGAAATGCTGGGCGACCACGACGACTGGGGAAAGTCCCAGCCGTGGCAGGGATCCGCCAGCGTGCCGTTTACATGCATGGGCAAGGTAAGGGGTTTCCCCACACTTACAGTATAATCACACTAATCACCATCAACTCAGCTTCATCTTGTTGATACCAAACACTAGGTGCAGCATAACAGCAATTTCACATTGCCCTAATCAACCACTCCACGGAATGGAATAGTGGATTAGGGCTAGGTCACGGAAAGGCGGTTGTTGACCCGCCCTGTACACGGACCCTTCCATGGGTTTTTTAGCAACCTTTCTGTGCATACTTGAAATACTATTCTCTTCTTTTCAATTGCATTCTATGTGTGTGTATGTGTGTGTGTGTGTGTGTGTGTCTGTGTGCGTGCATGTGCGATGTGTAGAAAGTGGGCGTGAAGGTCGGTCAGCGCATCACACGCCCCGTGTCCACCATGGACATGGCCGCTACATTCCTGGACTATGCCGGCACTGAACCCGACACGGGCATGACCACCACCACACTCAGACCCATCCTGGAGGGAAAGGTTAGTTTGATCGATGCGTAGCGTGTGTGCGTGTGTGTGTGTGTATGTGTTTGTGTGTGTGTGCGTGTGTGTGTGTGTGTGACGCGGTCTTGCTCGCTGAAGACCGCCCTGGTGCTGAGAAGTGCCTTGAAACATTCTGCACGGTTGCCTCTTCCTTTGGCCTCTGCGTCAACGCTGCTAAAACGAAATTTCTCGTGGCAGGTAGCCAAGTCAACATGCCTGATAGAGCCGATATGAACGTCAACGGTGATACTGTGGAGCACGTTCCATCCTTCATTTATCTGGGGTCCGTCGTGACACCGGATGCCCGCTCCTCTACTGACGTCAGTCGCCGCATAGCTGAGGCTTCCAAAGCCTTTGGAGCTCTTCTTCCAGTCTTGTCGGATCGCTCGCTGTCATTAGTCAGTAAGCGAAAGCTATACGTGGCCTGTGTCTTGTCCATTTTGCTGTACGGCAGTGAGTGCTGGACGCCCTTGAAAGCTGATAGTAGACGTTTGGATGCCTTTCATCATCGCTGCATCCGCACAATATTAGCCATCCCTCGCAGTCAGCAGCAATCCGATTGCATCACGTCTGCGCAGTTACGTCGTCACTGGGGTGACCCAGTGCCACTCTCTGTTAAGATGCGCCATCGTCGTTTAGAGTGGCTTGGTCATGTGGCTCGGATGTCGGAGGACCGTGTCCCATTGCAGCTGTTGTTTGGTCGTTTGTTGGCTGCGCGCCCCTTCTGCGGTCCCAGGCGTAGGTGGAGAGACGTTGTGGCTACTGACACGAAGTCCATTCCAAACTGGTTTGATTGCGCACAAGACCGGTCAGCTTGGCGAGAGCAGGTTCTGGTTTTTCAGCCTCCTCGGGCAGTAGAGAAATCCGTACTCTGCTCATCTTGCAACCGGGCTTTCTCTCGTCCTCAAGACAAGGCACGGCACAAGTGTTTGGCTGAGCGCCAACTTCCCGTCCACCAACAGCGTGGTTCAGCACAGTGCGTCAGTTGCTGCCGATGGTTCCGTAGTAAGGGTGGGCTTGCAGTTCATCGCTGCCAGCCTGCACTCCCTGAACATGCAGATACGGCATTGACGGCGTCTCTCGCTAGTTGCTGCTTCCAGCATTGTCAACGCTGCAATCGCTGCTTCAAGTCCCGGGCTGGTTTTAACCGCCATAACTGCAACCGTGGAAAACGTCTTGCTGCAGCCGATAGGGAATCACTGCCGCTGATCTGCATGCATTGCCCGAAACGTTTCCGACGACAGCAAGATTTGACGAGGCACCAGAAGTCCTGCCAATGACGGTGCACTCCAAACTCTGGCCCCCTCCGGGGGTGACATTGCCCAATGGGCAGTCATGCTATAGTAGTAGTAGTAGTGTGCGTGTGTGTGTGCGTGTGTGTGTGGGTACATGGTGTGTGTGTGTGCATGTGTGTGTGTGCGCGCGTGTATGTGTGTGTGTGTGTGTGTGTGTGTGTGTGTGTGTGTGTGTGTGTGTGTGTGTGTGTGTGTGTGTGTGTGTGTGTGTGTGTGTGTGTGTGTGCTCTGCTATCCTTCTTCTTGTCATCTCACGTGAATTATCGTATATTCCATATAATATCACTACAGTACAGACTGGTGCAGGGGAACTGGGGGGGTCAGCCTCCTAGCCTAGACTGTTCTTACTTTCATGTATTACAGTCTATGCACAGTTGAGTCACCGTGTATACATTGGCATGCTGTGCTTGGTGAAATCCTAGCCTGGTCGCTCTCCGGCACTGTGCTGTAATCCATTTCTGAAAATGGTTTTGATTAACTCTAAGAGGTGGTGCATCTTACACCCACAAATTCAATGTTAGAGGTGATCACTAAGGGCGGGGGTGGGGGGGTGGTAGGTGTGTGGATATGCGTGGCAAAATCAGTTATAAATGATCCGTTTTCCTTTGAGCTAGATGATGTCTTCAAACAGCAAGTCTGCCCACTGCAAATGCTGTAACATTCATGTTCCAGGTCATAAATCGGATATCGCGTAGCAAGTTCTGTTCCATGCATGAGATAGCTGCTTCCAAAGGGCCGTTGAGTGCCTTCTTATGAGGCTTGTGAGACGACCTCACATGTGTCCACATGTGACATGGTCTTGGCACGGCCTTTGCACGGCCTTTGCACGGCCTTTGCACGGCCTTTGCACGGCCTTGGAACAGCATTTGCACCACCCTTGACATTGGCTGTCTGTTCTGTTCGTTATTCTCATCTTGTACATGTAGGCAATGTCCAATCGGGAGTTTGTCTCCTCCGGCCTTGGCAAGTGGAGGGCCGTGGTGCAATATGTCAACAATTCCGTAAGTTTACATACAAGCGCACGCACAAATGCACGAAAACACACCAACGCCCAACCTTGAGAACATTGACCCTAGATACCGCAAAAGAATATTTTCGTTATTCGCGACTTGTCGTCTTCCGTTGGGTTGAAAGTATGCAGTTGTGCACAAACCAGCCCCTGAAAAAATCCATCACGAAGTTTTGTTAACGGAGGGAGCAAAGTATAAAGGTTCACATTTCACTCGGATACTGATAATAAAATGTAAAATACAGTTGTGGCAAGTGAAATCCGACACTTGTCATAGGGGACAGCGCCACAAATGAACACCAATGATGTAATGCACTGCACCTAATTTGTACTATAGAGCCGTATGCATCACAAACAGATCGAAAGGTCACAGCGTAGATACACACAGTTCACAAACATGGTACACATAAGGAGTATTGGTATCCAATCCCCATTCATTTTTGCCAGCACCTTTTGAACCTTGACTGTGAACCTTGACTGTGAACCTTGAGTACGAATTCTGTCATCAGACAGATACAGTTGTATGTAACACACGTACTGTACGTATGCAGGGTGCATGGTGCAGTCCTTTATGCCAAGTGTCGGATTTTACTTGCCACAACTGTAGAAGAAAACACATGGGAACGAGTTATGAAGCAACTGCCCACGACTGTTTAACCACGAAACTTCCAAGTTTGAAGATTGTTGGTTTGCGCACTGGAGATGTGTTAGAGCTATGTGTCAGTTTGTTGAGTGTCTCAGTAGCCAGCCAGTGTTCTGTTGTGCCCTTTTATCGCACTTTCTGGCTGTTAAGTGGACGGTTGCTTCATAACTAGTTCCAATGTGTTTTTACATTTGGGTGCGGGCATACAAAATTATACTGAGGGGTGATATGTATTTTTCACACCTTCTGACGACCTCAGGTCAGATTTATTACTATTTTCGATAACTTCAGACAACCACTTGATCTTCATCATTTTTGCGAGAACTGGGGCAATACGCCCAGTGAGAAGGTAGATTTTGCCTGTGCTTCTGCCGAAGTAAAATAAAGCTAAACAAACAAACAAAAATGTCACTGCTCTTGCACCTGTAGGAGATTTACAAGCTGATCTGTTGCAATGGCACCTGCGCTGGCCAGCCCAGGAACGCCACGCACTCGCCTAGCCCCAACGAGCGTGTCCGTCGCATGTTCACTTTCTCGTCGTCGCGCCTCGGCGACTGCAGTGCCTACCCGCCAAACATGGTGCCGCAGGATTGCCGCGTGTCGCTGCGCGACGAGGAGGAGATGCTTGTCGGTGCTAAGCCGGGCAAGAATCACACCACCGTACTGCTGTACAATCTGTTTGATGATCCCAGCGAGCTGAACAACCTGGCACAGGATAATACCTACAAGGGTGTAGTCAATCGCATGCTGCCGCTCATGCCACCCCACACATGTCTGGTCAGCAAGATTTGAAGAGCTCCCCTGCCTCTCGCGATCATCCTCTGTGACCCTCTATCCGTCTGTCTCTTTTGCTTTTTCTCTTTGGGTATCTCTCTTCCTGCCTCTCTTGGTCGGCTTCTATTCCCTCTTCTTATTTGCATTTCTACACATTTACACGCAACAGTATGAGGGCTGGCCCCTCAGAAAAGAAGTATGTTTTCACCATTCCCCCAAATTTTATGAGCACTGCGGTACCGTTGTTACGGTCTACGGCGGGCGTGCACGCGTGATGTACCAGCCAGCGGGGGCCTGTCGCTCAAGAGAACGCCGGATGGGGCAGTCGTGGTGGGTGTGCATGCGATGCCGTGCTGTCTGGCTGTGCTGTTTGGCTGTGCTGTCGAGCTGCGACCATTTTTTTGTGCAGGGGTGTTTGGCCCGGTAATGCCTACGCTGTCTGGAGTGATGCGTTGACTTAATACAGTCAACTTCGCTTATAACGACACTCGGCTGGGCATCAGAAAAGTGTCCTTATTTGCGAAGTCACGTTATACCCGAAGTCTCATTATTATGTGTCACTGTTGGATGGGACTTTGCTCTGGGCATGAAAATTATGTCGTTATTCGCCAATTGTCGTTATATCCGCAGTCGTTATTTGCGAAGTTGACTGTACTTAAGAGTACAGGAACGTGATAACTGTAGTGCATAGTTAGTCTAACACGTTTGTGACATCCGTGCGTTGCGTGTGTGTGTGTGTGTGTGTGTTTTTTCTCTACTTCCTCAGCCATTTTTTCTCTAGTTTTCTCATCGTCTTTCCCGCGAGCGGTTCTTTTTTTGCGCAGGGGAGGTATGTTAGGTACCTCCTCCCGTACGTTGTACAACCTTTTGCAAGCTGGCCTGCATGCACCCCATACTACGTCGTACTCATCTTTTGTCCCCTCGATCTGTCTCTTGTCTCTCTCTCTCTTCCATAATGTAGTTGTTTCGCTCGTCTTGGTCTGTCTCTTCGACTCCCTAATAAAATGTAGTTTCACCTAACCTGTTCCCGTTGTTCGTTGTCCCTGGAGAGTACAATCGTACTGTTCGTACTCAACATAATAATTATTATATTAAATGAACTGTTCAAAACAAAAGAAAATATGACCTATTAGTAGTCTAGATTTTGTTGCGGGAGGGCTCGGGAATCTCTATTCTTTTGGTCTCTCCTCACCCAGAATGTTTGCTCGTGGCTATCATTTCGGAGGTGGTGGAATCTCAGATTACTGAAATGTTGCAAAGTTCACGTGCGTGGGAGACATTTATGCACGCAGAGAAGTAGTAGGTGTCGGGCCGGTTCTGGAACAGGCACATGCCCCAGCCCGAAAAAATGGGGTATTATTGATAGTACCCCATTTTTGGGGTAAAAACCAGGCGCCCTGTTTTTGCGTAAAAATGATTTTTCGGTTGTTAGAGTAGATGAAGGGGTATATGATTGTACCCCAATGGTTGTACCTTGCCCCGGATGGGAGTGGGTATAAAAAGTAGATAGATTGCTGGATTTGATGTCGTATTGAGGATGATGATGAGGAGTGAAGATGGATTCTGAATTTGAGATCTTACGTGCTTATGTACGTGAAAAGAGACTTCATGATCCTTAACGAGACCAAGACGCAGATACTCGCCATACCACACCATAGAGCTGCAGCCCTTGACATCAATGTTGTATGCAATTCACAAGTCCTACCAGTAGTCGCATCTGCCAAATACCTTGGCCTGCATTTTGGCTTGGACATGAGTTGGACCACAATGGTGGACCATGTTGCTCGTCGTGTTGCCGGCAAAATTGCTGTCCTGCTGCGACATGCTTCCTCGCTGCCATATCCATGCCGACTCACCTACTTCAGATCTATCATTTTGCCTGAATTTTTGTATGCTTCTATTAGTTACTACCCATATTTGTCAGTTGCTCAGGAACAACGGCTACGTCAGCTGTTCAAACGTGCCGCCCGGGCAGTCTGCAAGTCGCCATCGTGGACCAGTACTGCTCCCCTGCTAAATCGAATGCATGTATGCGATCTACAGGATTCTGTGCACTTGAATATGTTTTGCTTCATCTGGCGATGTTTGCATGATGCATGTAGCACCCTATTTCAGTCCTTTTTTGCTGTCGTGCCCTCAACTCGCACTCGAGGAGGCCAAAGCAACCTGCTTGTGGTCCCACCTGCTAGCACTGCTCGTTCTGCTAAGCGCCTAACGCACGCTGGAGCCATTATGCTGAACAGATTGCCACCAGCAGCAAAATGTTCAAATAGGTATTTGGATTTTAAATCTCAGGCCTTGCAGTATAATTATATTATCACCGACATAGGTTTTCCAATGCTCACTGGATTGATATCTGTTCGCTGCAACCAACCTTCCGTTTTTTCTTTCCTTTCTCTTTTTCTCTTGTATCTACTTTTCCACAATATCCTTTAACATGTTATACACAGTAGGTCCGATGTTATTAGGCATTTTGCCTGTTTTGATTTCCACTATAAATAAAGTATACAACAGCAACAAATGCGAAGGAAGCAAAATAATTCGCACCAAAAAAACTGGTGGGTAAAAAACCGTCTCGACTGTTTTTTAGGCAGTGATGGAGAAAGTAAAAGGAGAAAAGAAAACAAAGAGAAAAAGGAAGTGACTGCCACTGTGGGCCAATGCCTGGGTTTGAGCGAAAACGCCGATGAAGGCTAAAAAGCTCTTCAGAGCGGGAGCAGGCCAGTACTCAGCGTAGTGCAATATGGACGAGACGCTTGTAGTGAAGTTGTGGACGAGACTGTTGTAGTGAAGTTGTGTTGTGGCGTCGTGCAGTTAAACAGCAGCTAGGTGCAGCGAAAGCATACAGCGAATAGCAGCGTGCAGTGTTGTGGCTTTGTGCAATATTAGCTCTATGCGGCGAAAGCATCTACAGATAGACTGGCGCCAGCACGGCGCAGCACAAGCAAGTAGACTAGAAGAAGAAAAAACGAACGAAGGCTCGACTTCAACCGGCCCAGTCACCATGGGGAGGAGCTTGTGATGTATAGCCTCCTCCAACGGCTTGAGGGCTTCTGCAGCACCCTCCACCGTCCGGCAAAGAAAAGTCCATTTACTCTGCAGCCCATTCACCAAAGCATGGTAGGCTGCCTGCGGCTGCAACTCAGCAAACTCACACAACTTGTTCTCCTGCCCGAGGAATCCACTGCCAGCCAGGTATTCCTCGACGAACGGAGCAGTGCCGAGGGCTGCGCCAAGATGACGACAGCCATCCATCCTCACTTGAGCACCTGTGTCAGCGAAGAGATCAAGCGCCTCATGATACCTGTCTGGCTTCACCAGGAGTATCGACTTGGTTGGATTCAAATGGTACCCGTAAGACTCAGAGAGTCCCACCATGCACGAACTGCCCGCAATTGGCCTGCTCCGGAAGAATCATCTGCAAACCATGTTTGGATGATGTCAGCCATTGAGACGCCCTCAATCAACGGCAGCACCCCCAGCCCATACATGGCCATTGATAAGGGATCTCCCTGCGTGATACCTTCTGATGAGTGCACTATCTCACCATCAACATACAGACGGGCGGGACTACGGTATGTGTTGATGACAGCGGTAGAGAGAGAAGGGCATCAATGACGTATATTTTGTAGACAGCATCCGCGATTTAGTCTAATAAATGCATTTGAGGCATCGGCCAGCAAAATACCATCAACTTTATGAAGTTTACCGCTTCTCAGTTTCCGGAATACCTAGTTTCACGTGTTGAACAATAATTATATATATATGTATCTATTATAGGAAGTGTGAGTTACGAAGTCTGAAGAAAACGTTGAACGGTCTCTCCTTGGATGACGACTACACCATAGCTCAGTGGTTAGAGTATCGCAGGCTACAAGCGAGGGTCCCTGGTTCGAGTCCTGGTGGTGACAGTCAATTTGTTTTCAGACTTTTCCCGTTTGTCTCTTTCCCTCAAAACCAGTTAGTATCTATTATTGCACAATTAAAGAGGTCAATATATGAAATATAGAACGAGTAAAAGACCGAGGTCCCCCGAGGTCCTTTACTCGTTCTATATTTCTTATATTGACCGATTATGAGGGCAGTAATAGATTTATCACGACATAGCATACCTAAACTGTTTTTAGCTGTGTTTATAGGAAGAATGGAATACTATTGCAATAGTACATAGTATGTACATATGCCGTTTACATTGGACATTACTTCTCTGTAAACAGAAGTTTTCAGTTGTCACTTGTAGTACGTTCCCCAAGTTCTTTGGCTGAGAATCTGACAGTTTGGGTTCGAATCCCAACATTTGTACTCACTGGAGACTCCAATGGCGATTCCAAGCAACCTGCTACCTACATGTATACTACCGGTGGTGATGGCGAAGCTGATGAGGACGGCGACATGCAGGCGGCTGACCACGACAAGGAGGGTATTCCCCAAGACCAGCAGCGTTTGATTTTTGCCGGCACGCAGTTGGCAGACGGCCGAACCCTGAGTGACCACAACAACGTTCAGCAGGAGTCCACTCTTCATTTGGTACTTCGCCTCCGTGGTGGGATGCAGATTTTCGTCAACACTCTTCCTGGCTAGACCATCACTCTTTACGTCGTGCAAAGCGATGCTATCGACAATGTGAAGACCATGATTCAAGACGAGGAGGGAGGTTATTTGTCTGACGCCGAGCTAGCCGCTCTGAGTGACCGGCTCAACGAAGATGAAGATAAAACCTGGCTCATAGTTATGCCGTGGTTACTAACGCTGATTCCAGGTATGGCATTTTCTTTCCTGTCTTCCTTCAGTCTCCCTGTTCTCTTCAGTCTTCCTTTATGCGAGTGTGTGAATCCAGTTTAGTTTGGTAGGCGTCTGATCATGGTGAGCCACGGTTTACCTAAGTAACCTGGTGAGAGAAGTGTGTGAGAATCCCCTTTTACACTCCAGGTGTGTACCGGAGTAAGTTCCCACGATGCAGTGCATTTTTTTGAAATTGTGAATTTCCTGGCAGTTTGAGCCCGCGAAGTGCAGAAATTTGGCTGTCTTTCACGTCCTGTTTGGAGGACCGTTCTTTCCCTTTTGACCCCGAGAGATCGTGTGAACCTGGTGTGCTTTTACTTCTGTGTTATGATTTGTTATCAGTTCATTTCTTCTGTCTACTCTAAACGTTATCATTTCCGATATAATTTGCCATCTTCCGGTTGACGTTGTGTTCATAACTCTTCACTAATTTTTTGA